TGCACCTAACCAATTACCTGAGTTCGAAACAGAAAACATGTTTGCATCACACTTCTCCATTGATTTTAAGGATTGTAATTTACTGACCCAAAACGCCTGGTCCGTGTTTGTTGCCTTGTCACTGAGACGGGAAGTCGGCATTTTGATTAAAAGCGCAATGGTCCAGTCAGTAAAGCCACTCGACCAATGTGAGCGACCAAGAGACAACGGTTTTGTTGCACATCAAGGCTGCAGAGGGCAGATCTCAGAACTTGTCAACGCCTAGCATTTGGATTCGCATATGTTCTGAATAGTACTGCAAGCGCCATACCCATTACCAATCCTTTTCTACGACACTATTAAAATCGTTCCTTAAATTAATTCAAAAAATAATACCGCATAGCCTTAACATTTCAGTGGTTAGGTGCATATTTAAGTTGTGCTTGAAGCAAGTTCTTAGGGAAATCCCCCAATTACAATATAGAAGAACTAAGACTGTTTTTACTCAGAATAGGTTCGACAGCATAATTCCGCACTACTCAGAAACCTTCAATTAAGGCAGGCGGCAACTCTAAAACTAAAAGTATTCAATTTCAGAATGCTTGAGTTATGCATCCTATTATTCATAAATCTTGTAATAAACTCAGGTTTCCAATGCGGGTAGCTGGACTGCGGTTTGGATGGTTAAGCAAAACCTCAAGAAGCTCACGTCATAACAGTCATTGAATTACTAGCTTAAAGGACACTGAAGTGTACCCATAATGAGCCTAAACCATGGCCGTAAACATTAAGTTGACATGTGTTCGCCTCACGCCAAAGTAACTCTAATGACAATTTTACGGGTCTAGGGGGAACGGAGAGATTTCGAAGGAGAAAAGGATTTGATGCAAAGAAATGAGGAGGGTTTGAGAAAAAGAAATTTTGTTTTGATTGTGTAACATTCCCACGAAAACCTGAAATCTAGCCAAATAGTTTGATGAAATCAAGTAGGAAACATGTTTCTTTGACAAAGAATGTTGGAGTCTCGAAGTTTGGAATGCAAGTAGATATTATGCATTACTCAAGTTGCCCCCTTCGTAACAGGGCTATGAACCGGATAATGATGGAGACAAATGATATCGAATATCAAAAAGGTAATAGCGCAATCTCCGACAAACCAAACGAAGTACTCTATCGATGGAGAAACTGCGAAGAATAAATGGATTTCCCAAAATCGCCCATTCGTTTAATTTATAACAAAAAAGAGTTGTTGAGAATGAGACTGCCTCCATAGACCAGTAATTAAAGGCACAAAATGATAACAGACACTGAAACACAAATTAATCACAATCAAAGCTGCTCAAGACCAGGTGCTTCATTGTTATGAGATAGTCTGTGGTGTCTGAAATTCAGTCAATAGCGCTGCAAGACCATAGGCGCGTAGCTATAGCAAATGGGATGACTACTTGGGATTTTGAAAATAGCGATAAGAGCTTTACAATTCCACGCGCCCAACTTACTCAAACACTGACAGTGACGTTGAATTCTTGAGTAGCCATGAAAGTGCCCTCAATAAACTAGTTAAAGCCTGAAATTTTCGATAACAAGCTGGACATTACTGACAGAAAAGAAGATTTTCCATCTCAAACAATTTAATAATAAGTTCACAGAAAAGGACATGGTTAATATGTTGAAGAAACATGAAAAATAGGCACAGAACGTATCTAATTATCGGTTATACCAAACGAACCTGATCAAAACTGCCGGTTCTCGAAACAGGAGGAGTGGATGCGCCTCCAGCTCTAGGAAGATGGTGATATTGTCCACTGCCCCCACCGCCGCCACCCCCAGCGGATGTTTGAGATGGACTTGGTGTCGAGTTCGCAGTATTTGGAGGAGGTGGAATACCCCCACCATCCCCGCCGCCAGCGCTATACTGCTGAAACATTTTTGCCAACGAAGCAAGTAAATCTGGATCCAAATGTTGGCCTTCCTGTAGCGCTGCTTGAAGCATTGGGAGCACCAGATCCGGATCAATAAAGCAGGAAAGCTTTTCTAGCACCGCTGCGGGGGAAAAAGTATTAGTAGATTGAGTCGGCGCCACTGGTGATGACTCCTGGGGCGTTGGACGCGGATAGGCTGACATCGAGCTCGCAGACCATGGCGTCGGAGTGTGGGAAAGGTGTGGCGGAGGCGGTGGCGGCTGAGGTGCAGGAGGTACGTGCCGTGGCGACGAGAAAGGAGGATACCTAGGTGGGGGACTAGTGAAACTGCGAGGATTGAAAATCTGACGCTGTTGAGGTTGTCCAGTCAGACCAGAAGGAGGAATAGAGTCATCAATAAGACCAGGAACGGGCCCATTATTGTCAGTGCCGCGTTGAACGCGGTAGGGATGGGGGTTCTCAATGATATTATCCGTCGTTGAAGACTGAGGACGAGGCACAGCTACGGTCGAAGCGTCTTGCTGGTGAAGCAGCTGCTGTTGAGATACGTTCGACGAGGCTGTAGTCATTGTGACAGGATGTGAATTGGCCACAGTGGTCTTAATAGAACACGAGCTCGCTGCTGCCACACCAGATGCATTTTTCATGGAATTGTTGGCAGCCGAGAAGACATTCTGCAAAGACCAGAAGCAAAAATGAGAATAAAGTACACTCCAATTAGCATCATAATAAACAAAGAGAATTACACAAACCTTAAAAAAAACCGGAAACGTGATGGTGGTGGCAGAAATGGTGGGAGGACTCGAACCGACAACAACGGTGGACGTCTTCTGTGGAAGTTGTTGACCAGTGCCAGGGTTACCTTGTCTCAGTCCACTGCTACCATTATTTGTACTACCTCCAATCACCACCGAGCTACCAGTGATGGACTGTAAAGCGTTAATTATAGCCGTAAAGATAGGGTTGTTAGTGGGAGCAGAGACGACCGGTGGCTTGGTGTCCGTCGTCTTCACCGTCGTCGTTGCTGCTGCCGCCGTCGTCACCGGTAATGATGCTGCCGTGGTAACACTGGAGAGCCCACTACGTGAACACGGAGGGGGTGGTTGAAGGCCCCAACTGTCGAGGTAGCTTTTCATGTCAAATCGACCACAGCAGACATCTGCGATAATCTCATCCACGGTGTCTAATGCACTTCGTCGAATGGTATTGCTTTTCAAGGTATCGTTAGTCGAGACGGCTTCCTCCGTTGTGGTTACACTAGACACAGCAGACGCCGTGCCAGGATGTTCTGAAGCAAGAGATGTGTTTACAACCAACGGTGAGGTGGCATTTACCGTCAGTTTAGCAAGAGGAGGTGAATCCTCGTCAAAATTAGGTTCATAGGGATCTGTTGGCTGCTTGGGCACAGCAGTAGCAAGATCCATAGCAAATGTGGATGTTATGCCTGGTGTTGGCACTGGAGGTCCGGAAGCCGCCGCTACTGCCGCCATCTTTGCACGCCGACGAGAAGTCGAACGAAGAGTTTTCGGTTCAACAATCACTTCGGGAATTAGTTTCCTGGGTGAGGCTGAAGGAGGATCACTGAGAGGTGCACACGCGTTGACTCCTGGAATGCTCAGAAGGCCGATCCCTGACGACTCAAACAGCATCTTTGCAGTTGTAGAACGCGCGTTCGGAGAGGAGGCAGACGACATCAAACCCGGCGGTGTGGCTCCCGAAGTTCGTCTACTGGTTGCCGACGAGACACCCTTTCTGGAGGCCTGAGAAAGGGAAGTAGGAGTAGGAGGAGGAGGAAGAGGAGGAGTAGGGGGAGAAGCCGTGGGAGGATGATACAACGGTGAGGTGATTGGTGTAATTGAAGCCACAGAACGGTGAGTCGTTGCATCATCCACAGTCTCAGCTTTAACCCGCTCAATCACACTCTGGACGTAGCGCTTCAAATCTCGATTTTCTGACAGAGGAGTTGGTTTTTCAAGTGGCTTAACACATATGGTATCTTGAGGCACAGAAACTGTAGTTCGCATACAGTTTGTTGTCTCAGTCACAACGTTTGTTGCCGCGCCAGCACGAGAAGTTTGCACTGGGGCTGTAACGATGGGAGAGGGGCTAGAGCGGGAACACGCTGAACAGAGTGACTGAGTAGGTGATGAGGAGGAGTACGGCGAGAGGATCTGCTGAACATTAGGAGGGGGTGGAGGCGGTGGAGGAAGTGTGCCAGAATCAAGTTTAGGCGGTGTCGGTGGTGGCTGAGGCTTGAAGATGGTTGCAATAGGAGGTGACACTACTTCGTCTGAGGGAGGTTTCACTGTCTCCGTTGGCTCCTCCACCAAAGACCTTGATACTGACTTATCACTGCTCTCATTTAACCTCGGTGAGGGTTGGTCATCCATCCCAATGTCTCCAATGGCATCACGGTTGCTAAGGTTCAAGGAATCCTCCTTTGAGGTGTTGAGGATGTTAATGTCGTCAAAGTTTATTAATAGGGGCTTTTGATCACTATTTCGACTATCCCCATTATCCTCTTCCTCCTCTCCTGCCTGATCTCGATCCGGTTCTACTTCGGATTCGGAGTGATTACTAGACATTCGAGTGAACCACTCAGAGACTGGATGATCGGCCTCCTCGTCCCCAGTTTCTGGTGATATTTCCATGGCTTCTGTAGATGGAGTCATCGCAGTATTGGCAGAGAAACGATCAAAGTCGTCCAGACTGTAGCCATCATCGGCCTCAGAAAGACCAGGATGAAAGTCAGAGGGACGGGAGGGAGGGGTGGGTTTAGCCAAATGACTTCCACATGAGAGAGGAGTGGAAGCGTTCACACCCTCCACATCTACGCTACACCGACGTCTGGAAGAACCAAAGCTACTGACACTACTACTGCTGCTGTCACTAACTCTACTGGAGGAGTGTGTTTTCCGTGTCTTTGCTTTGGCCTTTGACGTGGTTCGGGATTTCTGAGCCTTACTACTGCTGTTATGGTTGAGCAAGCAAACTTTGGCATTATTCGACCACTTTGAAAGCCTTGAATTACAAGATTGGTCTTTTTCCTCCCTTTCATTGTCAGTTGAGAAGCTGGGAGAGGCGACCCTGCTGGGTCGAAAGACAGGCTGAATGGGAATTTGCCGCTTTTCCGTCTTAAGCGAAGACGGAGGTTTGACACAATCTCGCCGTTTTATTCGCTTCTGTGCAAGAGGACGTGCAGAACAGCCTGAAGCGCTGTCTACATCATTGAGGGAGTGGGACCTGCTAACCGACAGCCCAGTGGTGCTTCTGCTTTCAAGCAAGGAGGAAGATTTAATCCTCTTCTCAGAAGAACGACGATTTGATGTCGGTTTAATATCCGTATTCTCTGAAGTAACACTTCCAGAGCGGGATTCACCAGAGGCGGAAGAGAGTCGGGACAGTTGCTGCTCCCCGCGGCTGGAGGGAGTCTTGGAGATAGTGTGGTAGCTGGCAGTCACGGGGACACTCATTCCCAGACTCAAGCGGGTGATTGTCGTGGAGGCAGCTTTTGATGGTACCTGCGTTGTCCACGATTTGTGTCGGTGACTTTCAACTGAGAATCGGGAAGACGATGTTGGAAGGTTTTTAGAAGAGTGACTGTGACTACGATGTCGAGAAGACGAATTGGAGCATTTAAGCTTATGTCCCTCTCTCAGGGAATTCGCCTCTTCCACCAGGTCCTCCCCACTTCCTTCATAATCGCCTTCATTCTCACTATCATCATCAAGACCGCATTCTGGCGCTGGTTGATAGTGCTGTTTTCGCCGCCTCTTCCTCCGCATTAACCGACTTTCCTCACTTTCTTCGGATTCCAGGGTAGGGCGCTTTCGGCGCTCCTTTTCCCCTTCCGTTCGTCGTTTTATCTTGTCATACATGGACTCGCAAACATGCACATCTTCAGAGAGATTTTGCGAAACGGTGTTGGTGGCAGCAGTACCAAGACTCCGGTTAGGCTCCCCCCTCAATGGATCTGAATATCGCTTCTGAGAAATAAAGAGTGGTGCTTCTGCAACGCCCCATCGTTGCGATGGGAACGTCGCTGCTGGTGTTGAAGGCAGTGGTGGTGCGGCATTTGAGTCAGTGAAACGCTTGCAAAGGGAGGAATTTGAAGTTGAACTGCTACGCGAGTACTCTTCCTCACTTGAATTGTGAACTTGCTCGCGAGGACGATGATTGCCGAGAGAAGGACGCGGAGCTGAGCTCCTCGACTTTTCAGTAGCAACGTCAAATGATGGAGGTGGTGGAGGTGCCCGAGTTGTCATCCCCGATGGTCTTAGCCTAACTGTTTCCACAACTCTAAAACGAAAAATGCATGTTGACCGCAGCTGCATATATATTTAAATTAAAGAGAAGGCGGTACATACTTAGCAAAAGTCATGACCCTTCCCATTTGCTTGGGACTGGCAAAATCCACTGAGCAAACAAAAGTGGGCAATCGGGGAGCGGTGAATGATTCCGGAGACCGGTTCTGCGTGGCCAAAACCAGTGGTGATTCGGGCGAACGAAGGTACTCCAGCAATTGAGTTGCCAGCTCCTGTGAAGCAAGCTCAAGCAGGGCGCATGTGTGGACAGTGGTATTGGCCGAGGATTCTTGAGATCGGGTGATTTTGGAGACCTGCGCAATAGGAACCACACGGGAGAATAGAGTCTTCAGTTCCCCTTCAGAGTGATGGACAAGGGAAGCGGGGATATCATTTATGAAAAGACAGCTGACTGGTCTACTGGGTGTGTAGAACAGACGGAGGGGCCGACCTCCCAGTCTTAGGGGGTCACGTTGATGTGTAGTCATTGCACGAGTAGAGCCGCGCAATTCAACGAACTCGATAATTGCGGAATTGCTCGTCGGACGCATTTGAACGTGCTAAAGGGCCGGGAGAAGAAGATTAGGAAGGGTCAAAATAACTAAAGGTGAGCGGAACGAGGGCAGGAAAAACATACTAGGATGGCGCCGAACCTCTGAAAGGCAGTGTTCAGTTGGATCTCGGAGACTGGTCCATTTGGTCCCGCTGTGAGACCGTGGACAATAAGAGAGCGAGTGGGAAGACTGGAGGCAGGAGGACGAGTTGTTCGCGGAACAGCCAGGGAGGGAGGGGAAGAGTTTGAGGAATGTATCGGAATTGAAGATGCCGAATCTGCAAGTAAATGTGGCGGAATAACCAACGAGAACTGAAGCGTTTACATTGACAATACTTGTTTGTTTAGCCATTGCACAGATGCAAGCAACATAAACAGAGATAACCGGTTTACGTGTATGGAGGCATCTTAAGATAGGGAGGTATGGGTGAACAACAGTTACGTATGCATGATATACACAATTTAGCGTGTGACGCAAGGGTTCTTGGGATGTGAATGGCAGCAGAGCGTTTTTTTAAACCTAGAAATACCCCTTTGAGGATGTTGATGCCATCGACCTGGGTCGAAACCAGAAGATGGTTACAAGGCATTAAACAGTTGGCTGAAAAAGTGGGATTGCATGATTGGGTTACAAACAATTAGAGAGAAGTAACGAGACACGCAAGAGAGGGGCTTGTGATTTCTGTTTACAATACCAGCGCACACACACACATGCACACGTAAACGCAAATACACACACGCCAGAGAGCTATTGATTGGATAGAGGCACTTAACAACGCCGTATGTGCACACGCAAATATTCACACGTAGTGTGCCACTGCACAAACACATGAAAATCAGATAAAGCGTAGAGGCACTGATTTCCGTCGCACTTCTATGAAAAGCCTACTGTAGATGAAAATACAATGCGACCCAACTCAATCTGTATATGATCTGTTCATTTTACCTATTAAACATTACCCTAGAAGAAAATGCAAATCTTATCTGAGTTTCTAAATCCACAAAAGCGCCAATACACTACATATGGGAAATCGCAGGTGATAACGGACTACAAAAGGGTAAGACGCCGGCATACATATCTAAACAGACAACTCGCAGATTATGAATCCACAAAGTCTTAGAAACTACGGTACAAAAGCAAGAAAGAGGAGAGTAGTATCAAGAACTGGCTAGTGAAAAGAAGGAAAGTGAAAAGGAAAGAACAAATCGAAGGCGCACTCTTTGGATTGGCCACCCACCCAGCTATCCACTTATTCAACAACTCATGGCTGTGGTTACCCGTGACTCGCATTCGTTCCATTTAATCTCCCAGTCGTTCATTTGCCGATTCGAACATTAAGTGGACCAGTACTCTGACGATTCAAGTGAGCATATTTTTAACCATCTCGTCACCTATCAACTGTTACCTCCCTTGTCAAGCGACCGGCTTTCACGGGTTCTAAAAGGGTTAGTGGAGGTTTATGGTGTTATTGCACAAGCTACCAATGGAGAAGGTGAATACCACTACGCGCTTCTTCGTGGAGAATATTTCCCTAGGTTATATATATGAGAATAGCAACAAAACTATAACACCAACTTAGAAGTGAGAGAATGAGGTTTATCAGTTAGTGAGATGAACGAAAAGGCAGAGAAGAAGGCAATAACATGACTAATTCAGGAGGAAAGAGGGGTTCGGCACCCTTTGCCGCCCATTTTCTTCCCCAAAGTCGTCCATTACAGGGCCAAAAAAGGAGGAGTTAACTCAAAATCCTCCTTATCCATAGGAAAGCACTGGAAAGAGTAGGCGCACAAGAAGCGCTTTGCTTCATATAGTGACACCAACTATGAGGCTCGATATTGAAGCCATGTTTTCCTTTCTCGCATTCTGAGAAACTTATACTACTTCCAAAAGTAGAATTAAAAAAAATGGCACACGTTTAAGGAGAAAAACGCGATCGATAAGATGAGAAATTAAGTTCTAAAAGTGCTCAACACTGTAGCTGAATCACCCACCAAGCAGATCAATGCTAGCGCGCGGGTAATTGAGGTGAAGGCAGTCAGATTTCCCAATCCATGTGAGTCGACAAATCAAAGGCTTAGTGCATGTTATTCCCACGACAAATTGTCAGATCGTTTGAGGCACACCGATAAGACCGATTAGTGCGAATCGTCATTACTGCCTACGCAACAGTAAACAGGAAAAAGGCATCATATTCAGAAAAGCGGTTTGATTGCGCCGATAATGGGTGTCCAACTATCAAACCGTGAAAGTGTGAGGTGGAATATATGCGGGAGGTCACAAGAGGTAACGCCGAAAGTTAGGTGGTTTGACCGTACACAATTAACTAATAACAGGCTCCAAAAATGGAGCCAACCATTCCGAAAAGAAAGGGTGAAAAGGAGTACAGAAGTGAAAGAAACATGGAAGAATAAAGCAACAGATAAACCTAGGATAGAGAACGTACCCGTGCCAGAGCAGAGTTCTACATGCACCGGGGCACCAAAAAGACACCGTCCAGCATTACGAAACGCCAGAAGGGCTTTCTCCTCATCTTCAGTACGCCGAAACATCACAAGGGCTACGCGCGTCTGCCTGCCTCCAGTAGCTGCTGCGGGTAACAGATTCACATGATACGACTTAACGAATTTGTGCAGTTCGTCGCACAATGCCTGTTTGATTTGCATCTCAGCATACTTCGGAGGTGGAGTGAAAACCACCTTGAGGGAGGCGCTGCCAACAGCGCCATGAAGACCACCTTGACGGCTTGAAGAGGAAGGGGAGGTAGCTGACTGGAACCGCAGCTGCTGAGGTGGCATTTGACGCTGCTGCTGTTGTTGCTGCTGCTGGGGCTGCTGTGCTTGGTGGGGATGATGATGATGGTGATGATGGTGGTGACTCTGTGTTGCTGAACTGGGACCCGCTCTGTCCACTAGCATTGTTTCAAGTTTGCTGGACAAGGATGACAAATGAAATTTAATCTCAACGTTGTATTTGAAAGGTAAAATTCATCTGAAAATTTTCGAAGGGCTATAAACGCTAAGCATGGATCGCAAGTACCCCATATTGTCTTTAAATTTTGGTGCTTTTGTTACAATAATGTATTAGCACAAATAAAAATGAAAATCTGAATCACGAATTGCCCGAACCCAACATTACATGGAATACCTCGATTTGAACAGTTGCCTCTGTGAGCTTTGATGCCCATTTACCGCATTAATAAGTGACACTGATTTCACGACTGCTTACGGTTGAGAACCCATCAAGTTATCGACGAGAGTTTACCAATTAGCCAGGAGGGTTATAGTTAATAATTAAACGCACGGGCAATGGCTTGAGAAATAAGATAATCAGGCACTGGCATCACAACCACGAGGACGGAACGGAATAAGCCACAAATTGCATGCGAATAAATAGCAGTAGCAATAATTGATGTCTTAGACAATTTGAGACAATATTAAACTAAGGATTAAGCAAGACCTGGCACGAATATCGACACGGTAGCATCCAATATAAGTAAAACGAGTCAATCTAGTGAGATTATAAGACGAAAGCTTGAAGTCGATACAATAAGTGCCTGCAAAATCAATCGCATGATTCCTAGTAAAGCTAGTTTGGGAAATCGGCGGGATGCCTACAAATGATTAAACACTAAATGAACAGATGGCTGAAGATCGTTGAGTTTAGCTCAGAACAAAAAAAATTACAATCTAACCTTCGACCAATCGACCGGATAGTGGATGTGAGAGCAGAAACGCATAAAACGACATTCAATCCAGCACAAGAATGAGTTGATGAAATAATATTAGCAAATAAAAGCAGGTCTTCGAAGTCTCAGACAAATGGAGCAATAAGCATAAAAAACAAACTTACATGCTAAGTGGTGTGATAGTTGAGTGTCTCACATTACTCAATAAAATGGTGTACTACGGGGTAAAAGTACATTATACACATCTCACCAGGTGCATACAATCGATTTATGACAAGACGCCCGCTTTTATGCCGCAATACGGAGGTGTACTCAGCTTAAAATGCATAAACATGACTGGCCTATAAACGGGAATCGCAGATTAATAAAATAGAACATTCGTTAAGCCCGTTGTGAACACAGTAGCACGAGAGAAGGGAATGCAAGGCATAGAATACGAGAGATCAGTTAAACAGTAAGGGCTAAAAAGGACTTCTGCTGCAAAACGGAAAACAAATAAGAGAAGTTGGTAGCTATATAAAACAAGCAAGTGCCGCGAGGTTCCTAGACATACCAAAAAGTATCTAGATTCATGGGAAGAGCAAGCGATAAGAAACTAGAACATACAAACTTTGAAATGAGCAAGCCATTCACTCACCGGTCGGATCTTTGGTTTTGCGTCGACCCAATAGGAGGAGTTCGATGAGACGTAGAAGAAACCCACGGATTTCCAGAAGAGTCACAATAGTCAACTTTAAGAATATTTCCTCGCAGCAAATTTTGCGAACGAACAGCTCGTGTGGCAGATGAGCGATCAAGGTATTCCACAATAAGGTTGAAACAGGAATTATGATGAACAGGCTTTGTACCTTTAATATCACCGTGGCTAAGGTCAAAAACGAACAAATTATCTGTTTAAGATAGAGATTAATACGGATTTATAAGAATAAACAAAAAATATCAATTTACCGACGAAGAACTCGGGTTACGTCTTCCTCTTTACATTTGGAAGGAATGTTAGTTATCCACAGATACTTAGTTTCATTCATATCTTTAGATACCCATGCACTAAAATATAGCGCATGGTGCTCAATAACTCTTTTAGCTACAGAATAAAGAGAAAATCGTCGCAAATGTCGATTATGTACACATACACTTCCGAAGCACAGTTGGCACGAATAGCATAGCTGCAATAAAGCGATTGGCTAAATTGGGATCAATCCTATTAGACAATTGGTGCATTGGCTGTGAAACTCAGGGTCACTGTTGTGATACGAGGGAGCTACAAATGGGGAATGCATTTGTGGCACGAACTCTTCCGATAAACTTTAGTACTTTAGAACAGCAATGGATACTCTCTCTCAGAGCTTCGCGATAATACGCGCGAGTGTCGCTGGTCTTATCCGAAGTCGTGTCAAGCTCGGGATATCGCTTGCTGGCTGACAGGACCGAGATTTGCAGCAGGTCGCTTATTCTTGCTCTTTAGGCAAGACACCGTTCATTGCTGATACTCTTGAGACCTGTGTGGATTTTCGCTCTCTAAGCGTTTTGCAACGTGTAGCGAACATGAAATCTGCTCAACTGTGTGACTGCTTCGTCAGACCGATGGCTGGTTTCACCGAGTTAAACAACCACATCGACTTCGTTCGTTGCCACGCATCACCTGACTACGGCACTCACTCACTGGTTGGCGGTGTGATCCTTCTTCCATCCCATGAACTTTTGAACAGCCTCACACCTCTATTTCCCCATTAAAAGGAGTTACATTCACCCCCTAACTTAATGGTACGCATGGAGGGATTTTTTACAGGTGATGGGAGGCTTGGAAAATGGGAACGCCTCTACTTGACATGTTTGGATCTGATGGTCTTTCTGGTTCCAACCGCGGGATGCGACGGTGGAGGCCAGTGTCAACCCGTCACTCATTTTTGTCAATTGCTTTTTTGCACCCATCATGCTCTACCTTTTCGAAATTAAATAAGCAGGCGCTCAGAGTGCCAACTCCTGTCAATCTGATGTCACAACATATCGGAGACTGAGCAGGTGACCAGATGCAGTTGTTCTTGCACAGTCGAAGTCATCATTCTCACCCTGGGAGCTGGTACTTGTACCTCGGGACAGTACTTAAGATTTCGGCATTATTTACTCGATACTGGTATAGGGGGAACACCACCAAAGGGTGGTGTTAGATAGTGGGTTCAGGAGACCGACTAAAGGAGCTTTGTGTTCGAAAGTTTCGAGTACTTCCCGGCTTGACATGGTTCAAAACATGAAACAATTTGGGTTAGTACGGTATTGTCGATATTTGTTAATTAGGAAGTCCTGGGAGACGGACGACGGAGTACTCGCGCTGTAAATGACATCACAACGAGGAAGTCAGGGAACTTCAGTAGTTGCATTCCGTCCAGTCAATTAGATTATTTGGGCTTGCCCATTATACATAACAAAAGCCTGGCCCTGAGGGTGGGATCGTCAATCTCCTCGGTTATCGAGCACGCATCCTAACGCGTCAAGGTCGATCACAACCCAAGCATTAGCATTATTGTTACAGTTGTGCGTCATAGTAATGACACACAGTTCAAAATAAAAAACTGTTATTACACTAGTTTTATTAAATTGCAGTTTGTATAGACAAAGGCAAGCAAAGGTATGAGAACTGAAAGGTGCACAAAGGACAATTAGAGTTTTACCACGTTTTGAATAAAAATATCCGTCAAACGATTCGTAGTGTAGAAAACAAAAATTTGCATTAAACAATTAGAGTAGGTTTTTTAAGATTTTATAAATTATCTTCTTTGGCTACGTAGATCTACCAACCTTCTAGGGAATCTTTTGTGTTTATATTTGAACAACTTCGGAGTACACGCAAAATTATCAGGAGAGAGAGTGGGGGCAATGTTTGACATTGTATAGCCCAGGTAGAAGAAGGCATTATGTCGAGCTATAATGCACGCATTCCAGCCGATAAGTGACAATAGAGTCTTGACCTGGCTCATAACCTAGACCCTGTGTATAAAAGCGAGACAAATACCGGAAGGGGTCCCATGAACGCAGTACAGTTGACATCGATTCGAAATTGTTAGACTCAGCCAATGCTATGTGGGTGCGAAGAGGCCGGTATTCTAAAGTACACGTTATTGTGACATTTTGATCGATTGAGTTGTTATTTTGAGTGCAAAATTTTTTTCAGTCTGTAAATTCGTAGACAACTTAATTGAGGCTTTTGTTTTAGCTAACGTTGCTAAGAGATAGTGATTGAACTGGAGGTAAATGCCTTCTCTTAACTCATATATGCTGCTAGCAGAGATGACGCATTGTTTCTGTGATCGCCTGATACTTGGCGGTTAGTTTAGCATTTTTCTAACTCTTGTGAGCACTGGGGATGCTCCGAAGTCTTCACTTTAGAAGGGTTTAGAATAGTGTCTGAGTTTCGTTCCACCATGTTCCGATTTTCAACAGACAAGCCGTTAATATGTGGATAAGCTCTGCATTGAAATTTCCCATACTCCATCCGCATATGTGTCAGAGATTATGGTAAAGAGAAACCCTTTTAATGCGAACTGTGTTTAATCCTATTTTATCTGTTAGGCACTCGATTTTAAATCACTGTACCAACGCCTAGTCATGGATACCACTGGTGGTCAACAGAAGATCCTCAAACGGAAGAAGAGAAGATCAGTACCGTTCCTCATTCACAGGGTAGCAGACGACTGACGCGGCTGGCTCGTAAACTTTCCGGATATGTTGTGTTGGCGGACGCGGGAAGTGCACCAGACGAAGTCGCTCAAAAGGATTGGCAGTGTAATACTTTGCTTATGCGACCACTTGATGTTAGGAAGTTGCACCGGAATTTGTCTTGCCCCTTTAGGTGTGTGCTTCTTCTTTTGCTCTAAGAATACATGTATTAAGCTCAATGTGATGCTGTGTTGAGATAACCGCATAGAAATAAGTAAAACTAACTTCTATCTCTCCATTTTTAGCAATGCTTTCCAATCCCTCATGAGCAGCCTTTAAAAACAATATCAAGATGAGAACACGTTCAAGGTCAAATTTAAATAAATGATAGGAGTACAATACGTGCCGTAGACAGATCTCATATTACTTGGTAAATATCTTTAGATGGAACACAACCCCAGGTCCAATTACAGCTGCTAAGAAAGGCAGGTGCAACCACTCAGTTTCATGTTGGCTGATTGCTGGTGAAGAGGGCAACATTACAATTGGTTTATTTGACTACCTGAGGTCGATCAATGCTGTGGTATTTTTCTTTCTCTTGTGCGTGTTGCAGGTATTCAGACCAAACCACGGTCCAGTTGTTATTCTTCTCCTCAAATAGTGCATTATTTGGCCCAAATAATTATTCTCTTCTAACTTGTAGGAAGTCTCGAAATAATATCCTATCATCCACGTTTTTTAGAAGTTGTGTAGCTGGCAAGGTTTGCATCAGAGAATTTTATTGTGAAACGTGTGTCACATTGTTACAATAAATATCCATAAACACGCAGACTAAAATAATTGATGCGTGTTCATAATACAAATTGTACTCTCATTTTTTAATTTCTATATCGCATGAGCCATGTGTAATTTGCATAGTTTTTTAAATCCCATTTAGAAGGTTTTTAAGATTTATCTGCACTTGTTGACACCGACCAGTAACCTTGGCACATTTTTAGTGGCATGGATGGTTTTGATGTCATCGAGCAGATAGCGGGTGGACTGTGCTCTCATGTTCTTCTGGCTATTCGAAAGCGAGATGGGTTGCGCGTTGTTCTGAAATGTTATGATGCAGACAGTACTTTACCTGGTATGTTCGTTCATGTGCGTTCAGAAGGAGATGAACCAGTCCTAAGAGAAGCTTACTTTCTGAAAAAGGTACAGAGTGTGAGCGGTTGTGTCAAAATGCTTGATTATTTTTTTGAACCGTTGAAAAATCAGCACGTCATAGTTCTTGAGGATCTGATTTCGTTAGGATATACCAGGCTGACCCAAGAGATTCTCAGCAACGACGGCTTTCTCTCTGAATCGTCAATCTCATGGATCATGCGTGAAACTATCAACACTTTGCAACAAATCCACAGTCTAAATGTACTCCACTGTGATATTAAGCCAGACAATATTCTCATCAATCGTACGAAGAACCAGATAAAATTGTTGGATTTCAATATTGCAAATGAGGTGATATCGCACGAGTTGCCAGCACAGAATTGCAAAGCTATTGGCTGTACACCAGCATATACTCCACCTGAAGTGCTAATTCAGCAGAGGCCCTGGACACCGGCTAGTGAGGTTTGGTCTGTAGGAGTAATGGCCTTTGTTCTATTGTGCAAGAAATTTCCATTTGATGATCCACTCAATTCGTTTCGTATGCCGCCGGCATACCCCGAAGACTTAAACACCACTTGGGAAAGGGACTCTCGGGACAAGTCAGTTCACCGAACGAACGTCAAACCAAGATGCCAGGGTTCAGTTTCGTGTCTCTCTCTTAAGGCTAAAGATTTTTTGATTTCGTGTCTTCACAGGAAACCTCAGTGCCGGTCTAGTCTTCAGCGTCTGTCTGCGCATCCCTTCCTTTCTCCAAGCCAGATTCGCCTCAGTTTTAGCACGAGTTTTTTGCAACAAGAGGAACATATGTGCGTATCTACACGAGTTCTTTGATTGCTTACTGTGATAAACCTAACCTATTTTGTATATGTTATTAGTCAATAAGAAGCACTAGGCTATTTCAAATAAAACTTTAGTGAAGCATAAGCCCTTTGCGTTCGTGTTTCAGAAGGCAAATGTCTGAGGAATTATGTATTTGAGAACTGTCTTTATCCACTAACAATGGGTATATACCGAAGCAGCGGACTACGGCGGATAGGGTTGGATTAGAGGGAAATAGGGGCTTAATTACTATTGATTGGCAATACTTGTTCTTGGCGTCTGTAGAAAGGTGACGTTATCACCTAGAGGGATCAAGTTGAGTCTATACTGGTTCAAACAGGCTGTGCAATGCGCTTAAAGACACCAGACATGTGAAGCATTACCACGAGTAGCATCAGTGGAGTAGTTTATTGTGTTTGCGTATTTCTATACATGTGTAGCATTCAACTGACTACATAAAGCCTTTTCGCTTTAGGCTAACAAAATAGTAGAGCGAAGAAGTGGAGCAACAGTTAAAATAATTTTTATTCATATCAAAAACAAATATGGTAAGGACCACTCCGTCGTAAATACGTTAATTGCACGACTTCCGCATACCCGTGCTGTCACAAATTGGAGGATGAATAAATTATCTGACTCACTTGAAAGTGAGTTTAATTTTCACTTATTGGTGTCTATCGTCTTCCCCTCACAAATTTCTATAATCACCACAACATCAATGCATGCAATGTAAGTTTCTTTAACTTTAGACATTGAAAGTTAATCCCAAAGATGTGTTGTGTACCGCCTTAAGAAGCCGACGTAGGAGTGAATTGCACAGCAGTAGTTCAAACAGACAGCTTGAAAATACAATAAATACCAGTGAGGTAGACCCATCAATTCATTAGGAACATTTGATTCTATTGTGCAGGTGAGCCTCGGAACTTTCTTGCTGAAACAAAAAACTGAACAAACGTGTACGAAAGCTGTAAATACCTGTCATGGTCCAAAGCACAAACCTGTTACTGTATGCGCATTGGCATTGTCCTAAGCAACTCGTTGTTGAAATCAAGGGTTGAATGAACAGTTGAATGCTGACAGGCTTGCCAAAGTAAATGTTGGATGTGGTCAGAGTGAACGGTCAGCCGAGTGATTTGCTCCATCCCCACACTCACTAGGCAGATTTTAAGGGACAACAAGTTAATGGGTGCTTCAGGAGCACTCGACCTGTTCCTCATGCAGACAGTGCATAAAAGTCCCATCCAAGCAGAATTGCTTACCGTCTCATTTGGATGACTTGCTGTTTGATCAGCTGCCATTTCAAATGACATGAGCTGATCCATACACCATCATGACGAAAACCAAAAATGTGGAGACGGAAGATCTTCAGGCTTACATTCCGAAATCACATTTTATGTAGGACTACTTAAGTGACCACGTTATGAATTCAGTATTTATGAAGCGCAGTTAGTACTGTGGTTCCATTCAAGGTCATTCCTCTTAGGTAATCACAATCGACCCCAAAAGGTTAACCATTCTGCACGCTCTTTCTGCTCGTAAGGCTCATGATCGAAACCATTTTTAATGCGCCCAAATTCTTCAATAATGGTTAAATGGTTTGCTTTCCTCTTAGGTTCGACAGTGATTTTCTTTAAGTGCTCCATCAATGTACCGGTGTTAGGACATACTTTAGTTGTGAATTAATCAACAGAGTTAAGAAGTTTAGTAGTTTTTGGAGGCCACAAAAGCAGTAGGATCGAATTTTGGAACAAACGCTACGCTCCGAAAGCCAGACCGTCCACCGTAAGTCGATTGGCTATCGTGGTCTAGGTTGCTTCTTCCGTCCAGTACGGATTATTCCTTCGGCCTGCACTTTTGACCCGCACAACACAAGGCATGACAACTTCATCCGCCTAGATGAGGGTCGCCCAGCATTGCTACACCTTGCACCTTCTTATGAGCTCAATTTTAACTACGGAAAAAAAAGAGGCCTTTGCTT